AAGTCATTGTGCTTTTGCTGAAACAATGACAACATCAATGGATAGCACAGCCTTACCCTTTTAAAAAGAACCTGAAAGTGCTAGGGAAATAATTACGAATTAAGCTACTACCAGAATAATTATGAATTAAATTACTGTTTGCTCTCAGCAGACCTCTGGTGACTGAAAGCTCTGTTCTGACATATATATATGTATATATGCAATTCTGCAAACCCCAGTCCAGTGACTTAGAGAGAGAACTTTGACTTCTCACAACTGTTTTGCACGAGATGAACATCACCACATGCCTCACCTCAACAGTGCAGCGTTTTCTTCAAGGAATCCAGAAATCCTTAGAAAGAGTGCTTGGTTTAGGCTCTGCTTGGTGCCACTCAAGTCCCAGGGAGCTAAACTCTTGGTTAGTCTCACCAGCTGTAGAATCCTGCTGCAACCAGGATCTTAAAATGGATCTTAAAATCCTATCCTTGCAAGGACTGCAGATGCATTAGATTATACTGAAATCTACTTTGGTTTGAAAAGAAAAACAAATTAGCAGATAAACAGAAAAAGTCTGAGAGAGAGATTATTTAATCCCTAACACTGAGTTCAGCCTTTGGAAAGAGTCAAAATCTCGTGAGGCTTCAGGGGAAAGGAGGACACTCGGATGAGGCCGAAGCAGCCCACAGGGGAAGCTGCCTATTTCATTTCTGGAACATGGGCCATGTGCATCTATTTTTAGCTTTGAACTGAGCTCCTCTGCCTCCTGCCAGAAATCCTGAGCCCTGTGCTGGTGCAACGAAAGCAGTGGCTCAGCCATTCTCTAATAGCTTTTACTTCTTAATAAAGAGCAGCACTTAGGCAAAGGATGAGGTTACTGTCGGAGGGGTCATGATTAATAATGATTAATCTGATCCTTGCCAACATGAACTGGATCCACCATTCACTAAATAATTACTCTGCAGCATGGATACCATTTCCAGAGGAGGCACATGTTTGTCATATTAAAACCAGGACCAAACACAGGGAAGGAAAAGGGGATCTGACTTGTCAGTAACACTTGATCTCACAGGAACCACCAGAAAAATTAAGCAAAGAGGGGGGGAAAAAAGGGAAAAAAGCCCTACAACAACAACTGCAAATCAAAGTATAAAAGCAGTTAAACACTGATGAGTCACCCACCTTTTGGGAGAAGCAATGGAAAGCAAACAAAACTAAACCCTCAGAAGGGAAAGTTGCACGTGCTGAGGATATGGTGCACTCTGCTACTTCTGGCTCTTAACCGTATGCATAACTCTAATATGCACATTATTTGCCCACCCACACATTTCCCTCCTGTTCTTAAATTACATTTTTGTTTTCCTCAGAAAGCACACAAATGAAATTGCTCCCTGGGAAACATCTTTCCTTCTTTATGCTAGTATGCTACTTGGCACAAGGAAATCCTACTCCAGGACTGTCATTCTTAAACAACAATGCATCTCAAATAATAAGGAACATTATAACTTTATAGCATTATGGGGAAGCATAAGCTAATGGGAATCTAATAAGCACTCCAAAGGGCATATATGAGCCTTACAATTACAGCAGAATGCTTGTGGTGCAGAGACTTGGTTCTGGGCCTCAGAGCATGGATAAATTTTACTCCCACAAAGCACACAAACAACAAGCAATGGTGCCAAAGGCAGACAAGGATATGGGGGTTTTGCTTGCAAGAGGTGACCTTATCTGGGGACACCTTTCCATCATCTTGCTTCACTGACCCAAAGCTTCCTCGAGACCATCCATGGGGGATGCTACTCTAGCTCTTCAGTGCACTCAGCTCTATTCCCTTTGAGGTTTTCAAAGCTTTGGTGGGATTTATATTGCACTGTTTACCCTACCACGTCATCATTCAGGGTTTGATTTGGACTGGGAGGCCACAACACAGACCTCCAGTCCCTATCCTGGGCTGGGGCAAATCCAACAGGAAGGTTAGGTTCCTTGTGCCTGTTGTGAAACCCCAGCCCCATCTAAGCCCATTTGGACTTCTGCCCTTGACAGGCCCAGGTTTTACACATTGGTGACTTGCAACATGGAAAATACCATGCAGATAGCCGGTGTCCTTGCCAAACTCAGGGAAGCAGGGCGCAGGTCAAGAAGAGCCATTGCTTTTAGAGGCATCTTGGAGAATCGCAGAATCACAGAATGTTCTGAGTTGAATCAAGATCATCAAGTGCAATTCCCAGCCCTGCACAGACATCCCAACAATCCCACCCTGTGCATCCCTGACAGTGGTGTCCGAACCCTCCTGGAGCTCTGGCAGCCTCGGGGCTGTGCCCATCCCTGGGGAGCCTGGGCAGCGCCAGCACCCTCAGCGGAAGAGCCTTTCCCTGATATCCAACCTAAATCTCCTCTGATTCAGCTTCATGCTGTTTTCTCAACTCCTGTCTGCTCACAAGAGTGGAGAGATCATTGTCTGCCCCTCCTCTTCCCCTCACAAAGAAGTTTCAGCCACAAGGAGCTCTCCCCTATGTCTCCTCTTCTCCAGGCTGGAGTAAGAAGTGTTGGTAAATTAAATCCTTGGCAATGAGGTTATGATTTGGTTCAGCTGGGGCAGTGTGTTTAGGTTTCCAAATTCATTTGAAGTAATGAAAGAAAAATCAGCTCCTTGCTAAACATTACCTCTCACAAAAATTTCAGCTGAAAAGTAGTTGGTGACTTTAAAACCAAGCCTTTAAATAGCTAATGGTATAAAAACCACATACGTATTTATGCATACATTCATGCAAATGAAAACTAAGTTGCATTTTCACAAAACTTTACGGAGGCACCAGAGTGAAACACAAAGCAATGTAGGGGATAAAAACAAATAAAAAGGTCCCAACACCAATAACAATAATGAAGGTAAATCCTTAAAATCTGAGACAAGGTGCAGGAGGCAGGGGTAGAGCTCTACAAACAAAACTAAATCCAGAGCACTGTTTTTCCCCTTCACAAAGTGAAACAAGCTGCTCCTAAAAAAATGCTTCCTTGGTTTTCTGGCAATTAGTGTCCTGGAGGATTAGCCTACAATCATCAGCAAGTGTTTGCCTTTCCCAGCCCATGTCACCATAGAAGTCTGTGTTTATCTACAAGGCCCAGGGGATAATTTATAAGCTGAGTGAGGTCCTGCATTCACAGACAAATGTTCCACACTGCCACCCACCCTCCTGTACTAGTTTCCTTCCCATCTATCTCCTATGCCCTGAAACATAGACAGGGCCCTGCCAGGAGCATGAAGAATGAGCTTTGCAGCCTCTGAAGTGAGCACTTGCCCAACAGTTTATATTGATACAGCAAATAAAGAGGTACTGATATGGTCAACACATCATCAGGCATCAAAAATTAGATTTCAGGAAGTAACTGAATGCAAAAAATATTTTATCACTGTTCCAGAAACCATCGAAGAGAATGGGATATTTTTTCCCCTCTGTTGCCTACACTCTAATTAAAATATGGCCATTTGTGAGTTTGAGGTCTACTACCCAGAGTTTGCTAAAGATAGTGTTTTGTAAAACCTCTCTGTAATCAAAATCTTCCAACTTTATTTCTAATCAATGCTACCAGAGCTTTAATGGTGTTCTGGTCCCCTTAAAGTAATTCAGCCCATATACATCAAAATACAAAAGACTAAGATTAGTAAGAGTGCTTATTTCTAAATTAATTTTCCCCTGATGTGTTAGAACCTCAAAGTGAGAATATTAAGCTTGCATTTGAGAGAATGGGAAGCTAGTCTTTTAAAGAAAGGTAATATGAATTCTTGTCTTGACGGTAAACTGATGATACAGCTTATGACAATTAATTTGTTAACTTGAAAATTCTAATAAAAGCACCAAAGCAAAACAAAGGAAATCAATAAAAGACTTAATTCTAAAAAGAATTTGTAAGTGTGACCAACAGTCCTGACAACAGGGAATACTGCAGAACAGGTATATTGATGGATATCTCAAATCTCAAACATTAACAAGACAAGGCTTTGAGACACTATTGTTAATTAAAGTTGATGAACATGCCTGTTGAAGGTGAAAAACACTTTTCTTCCTGAGAATTCACCTCTTTTCCTTTCAGGAAACTATCAGGAGTTTCTGGAGCTTCATGGACACAGTTTGAATCTGCCCCAGGTCTAAACCCAGTCACAGGCTGTCCTCAAGAAACATTAGAGAGCAAAGTTATTTGGTAATTGAGACCAGTTGCTTCACTCTGCCACATTTAACACTGGGTGACCTGATTTTATAAAATGTTTATGCTCAAACCAAATTTTATTTCATCTTTGGAAAAAATGATCTCCAGATTCAAACTCATCTTCAGCTACAAAGACAGAAGGCCATAAGGACTAAAAAAAGATTGTCAGGGATGAACTTGGCTAGTCTGAATGAGTGCCAAGTGGTAGGGGGAAGGAAGAGACCACCAGCTGGCTGTTATTCCAAGCACAGTCCATCTCACTTGCAATTACTGAACCCTACCAGTGGTCCCACCAATGTCAATTTGACCAATTTTAGAATAAGGGGCCATTCATTCCAAGTAATGAATATTGAAACCTGGCCATTGGTTTGTGAACAAATGTCATGAGGAACCCCAATAAAGAATGTCCTTGTGATGGTGTCACTTCAGAACAAAAGCATGCAATGAGCTACCACCCATCCAGGCAGCTACAGTAGGAGACCAAAGGTTGCATGCATTTAGCCAGCAAGGAAAAGCAATATTCTTTAAGAGAGGCATTGCCTGGAGTGGATTCTTATAAAGAAACAGAATTCATGAATAAATAAACCAGATGGGAATAAGCCAGGCTAGGGAATTAACATCTCCTAGTGCAATGAATCCCCAACCTTGCTTGAGGGTTTTTCTACAAGTAACAAACACAAAAACATTAATGTTGTACCATTGTCAATCATGCCAAGGACTCTGTTTGTGTCCAGGAATTCTGATATGCAACAACGCAGATCAAATCCACCAGGCGTTAAGACATTCTCAGATTTCACCAGTTAAGGTACATATAGACTGACCTGATCTGAGTCTTTCACTTGAGAATTTTTCCCTTTTCTGCAACCACAACTCATAAGCAGTTTTGAATCTCCAATGACTTTTCCCTATAAGAGATAAGGAAGGAAAAACATCAGCACACTCTGAACCACTGAAGACCAAGAGGTATTTGTGATCAGGAGCAGGGGAAGAAAGGGCAGCCTGTGGACTCTTCCTGTGCTGCTGGGAAGTTCACTTTCATGACGGGGAACTGCCAATCTGCCAAGAAGACTTCCCCAAAGGATAATATCCCAACATTAGGTAAGTCACACAGAGGCAGAAGGAAGGCAAGGTGTGTGGAAAATGACAGCGATAAAGCAAAGCTGAAAAGAAATAAATGTTATTTTAACACATGGTTCTCATACACTTGCATGAACAGGAACATGTCTAGCATACTCACCCCAATACCAAACAGCAATGACTTGAGGAAAAGCTCATACACTACTTCTTCTGTTCACCTTTACCAAAGTAATGCCTACTTGCTTCTAATGTGCCCAGATTTGGTGAAATAAAGTCCTCAGGAGAGATTTGCTCCCAGTAGAACAATGGGTCCACATCACCCCTGGTAAACCCATGCCAGGAATTCAAGAGCACACTCTCACCTGACACTGCTGGTGCAACTCTGCAATGTCTGTGACATAGACTCATAGAATGTTTGGCTTGAAAGGGACCTTAGAGATCACCCTGCTCCACCCCCTGACATGGGCAGGGACATATTCCCCTTGACCAGGCTGCTCCAAGCTCTGTCTAATCTGGTCTTGGATACTTCCAGGGATTGATGATCAAACAAACAGAGATTTGCAAAGAAACAGAGTCCACTCAGTCTCCTTTTACATGTAACCAACAGTCTGAGAGAGAAGCTGACCTCAGACACCTTTTTCTTTGTTGAAAACCCATCAGACTGACTGAATATGATCCAAGCAGCAAGGTTCCTCATGTTAACAGTTCTTTTCTGGGGATTATTTGTCACTTTGGTTCTTCACCAAAGTATTTTTGTTGCTTATCAAACCTGGACATCTTGATAAATCACCGTGGCAGAAAGGAGCTGAGATTCCAGATGTCAAAATGCTGCTTGAATTTAAACTGCATGGAGTCAAGAAGAGCCAGTGAAGTCCCCACAAATGTATCACAATTACTTGTTTTTTCCATAGGCATGCACACAAAGACATTGCCTACTTCCAGACTTGCTGTCCACAGCTGAAAAATAAACACTCTTGGCTGGGGAACAGAGGGAGAATCTGCTCGTGTGCAGCCATGAACAGTCATGAGATTTCAGCTGGATTAATTTATATAGAAGAGAAGATCCCAACACAGTCAGTGAATTTAGCCAAGCGGAAGTGCTCTGCCCTAAATGATGAGGAAGGGAAAGGGCACAATTAAAAGGAATTGCAGCCATTGCTCAATGTCAGGGCATAGCAGAGAGATGACCCTTGGTGGCAGGAATTAAAAACAGGCAGATAAACTTTTGGTCACCTTGGGAGAGTCTGCAACCTGCCAGGTGTGGAGAGATCTCTTACTTGGTGAGCTCAGCATCTCACAAATCTCAGCAAGGTCAGATAATGTGCAGAAAATATCTTTTTCTCTCTTTCCAAAACAGAAGCTGGGAAAAAACTACGACATGGAAAAGGTTGTACTGATACCTAATCTGATAACTACCCAAAATGTCTCATGTTTGGGCTGCTGATTACAAACTGGCAGACTCTGAGGTTTTCAGGGGACTACTTCCAACTGGCCTCCTCTGCCTGTGACTCCCATCTGTCAAAGGTGTTTCACTCTTGCCCCATTACTACAATCCTTCAACAACTGGTCTGTAATCTATTAAAGTATTTTTTTTCCTCAGAAAGAAGTGCTTAAACTGTAAGTTAAAGCAAGTGTATTAAAATGCTGTGTTAGAGACAGGAAACTGAGAGGGGAGAGACCCCTTTGTCTAACCACAGAGTATCTTCTAGACACCCCTCAGCATATGAGACAAGTTGGAGCTATGAAAAGAACTGGGAAAGACTCACACATGTCACAAAAGGCCACTGGATGCCTTGGGGTGGCTATAGCATAAACATACACTTGTGGTAAGGAAACTATATCCTCATATGTCTCATTGGTGCTCAGCTTGTCCCACTGTCCACTGCAAAGTTGTTATGTTAAATAAAATAATCCAACCCTTCTTTAACCACAAGCCAGAGGAAAAAAATTCCCACTTTTATACTCTTCTATGGGTCTAATGCCATCTGAGCTCATGGCAAATCATGGCCATGTTCTCCTGCCCAAACAGAAGTATCACCAGTTTTATTTCACAGAGAGAAATTACAAGATGTTGCCCATACCCCCATGGAAAATCAAGAGTACAAGGAAAATATGAACCCAAAACTTGAGAGCTTTTTTCTTTTCCTCTGACACTACAAGAATGAAGTGGCTCTTCAATTCCCTAAAAAAACCCAAATGAAAGCAATACACTGGATAAATAATCCCACCTCCGTTTCCAGCTGCAGACGCACTTCTCTTAATGTGCTCTGGATGAACGAGCTACTACCTCCACCTTATTTTAAGAGAACTCCTTTTGAGCAGATGATTAATTTGCAGATAGGTGTCTAACATTAGGCAGCTAAGTTGAAAGGCAAAAGGGAAAAAAAAAAAAAAAGCATATGGACAACATTTGCAGCCAGTCGCAACTCTGTTCCAGAGCAGATGGAGGCCTTGTCATTCAGGGGTTTCCTCACATACACCAAGCAGTTCAGTGGGGATAGGGAAAGGGGCTTCTGTTTGGATGCTTCTGTCTGGAACCAGATTAGAGGAAAGCATGCTTTTCCACAGCACACGCCTTGTGTTACATTAAACATGCATGTGCAACTTCAGCTTTTATTCAGCGATCTGAAACAGAGCCCTACAGGGTGCTAAGGGTTAGGGAGTTTTTGTTTGTTTATCTGTATGTTGTTTTACAGTTTTTAGTGCCCAAGGAGTTCATTAAGAAATTAAAACACCTTGCTGGGGCTATCCTGCTGTGGTTGTTGCCTCCCAATATTTCCCTCCTTTCTTCATCCGGCAGTGCTTGATGCTCACAGGGGAAAGAGAGAATACCAAAAAGACTGGTGCCTCATCTGACTGGGTATAGATGTTTGGTCTTAATTCATTGAGAATAATTTCTATGTTTCCTGGCTTTTTGATAACATGAGGTGCTATTGTTAAGAAGCAGGTAGGCACAAGGTTTTCCAACAGAGAAGATTGCTTTGCCTTCTGCTGACTCACATCCACTGCCAGACATCACCCTTCCCAAGGCAAAAGAGCAAGAAGGCTCCTTGACATATGTCCCATTATCCACCTCTTACAGTGAATCTGGCTGGCCTCACCCACCTCCTTGCACCATGAGCTCCAGCAGTTGGCCAAAGTTTGCAGAAAAATAAAAAAAACCCTCCGTAATAATAGTAACAGGCTTAATTATCTCAGCTGCACGGGTGACAGGAGCTGAGCAGTTGCCAGTTTTAACAGCCTGTGGTTGAGAAAAACTGAACTGCATCACCCAGAAGTCAAATGAGGGTCGGTCACAACTCGTTTCACGCCAGCAGCTCCAGGGGAGGCGCAGGGCACGCACAAATCACGGCGGCGTTGCCCAGAGCCATCCCGTGTGGAGCTGCCAGCCCCGCTTAAAGGAGTCAGACATGAGGCACATGGCACCAGCCGGCCTCCAGAGAGCTGCCAGGCTCTCTGCTCTGGAGCTGCTGGCTGGCACTGACAGTAGGATCCTGTCTTCCAAGCCTGTGGCTGGAAAGCTCAGCCCCAGAGGTGGGCTTGGCTTAGCACTGTGCCATGCACCTTGCAGAAGCTGACAGGTCCAGCTGGGCTCTAACCTGCTTGGTTTCCATTAGACTTTCTCTCTTTTGAGCAACGGCAATTGAAAATACTGGAAGCAGTCTTTTCCCTAGGGAGTTGGCACAACCACTCAGAGGGTGGTCGGGCACTGGAACCAACCCAGAGAAGGCCTCAAGGCCTCAAGGCCTCTGGCAGAGAAGGACTCTGCCAGAGTCCAAAAAGCATTTGGACAAGGTTCTTAGGCACACAGTGTGATCCTTGGGGCTGTCCTGTGCAGGGCCAGGACTTGGACTCGATGATCTTTGTGAGTCCCTTCCAACAGGGCATGTCATTCTTTGATCCTGTGTATAGCACTGCAACAGCAAACTCTAAAAATCCCCCTGGCTGCATAAATACCATTAGGAAGAACAACACATTCAGTGTTTGTTATGCTTTTTTTGCTATTCTGTCAGGGTGATCCACACATTTTGAAGAACCAGAACCCAAGTGCCTACAGTGGTAGAGTGGGAGAGAAGGGGGGAAAGGAAGGGAAACAAGAACTGAATCCAAGGTGGAGGCAAGCAGCAGTACAACAGACAGCTGGTGTTTGGGTGGTGGTAAATCACCCTGAAATGAGCCTCTTCCCTCAGCTCAATGAGGCCTAAACAACAAAGGAAGGCACAGCTTGCAGCCGGACAGCCTGCTAGCCAACCACAGACACACATGACAGCTTCATTCAGGAGCCCGGAGTCAATACAAAAGCTCCGAAATCAATCCGACATCCTGCGACCTCAAACAATGCGCCAAATCTTCTCAGAATTGGAGCCCCAAATGAGGGGGAGCAGCATTCAAGGGAGATCAAAACGCAGGGCTGGCATTGAAAGGGACTAAAAAGGAGAAGAATGTTCCCAGTTTATTAATGGTGAGGTCTGGCCGGCTGCATCCCAGCCACCATAGGTTACGTTCATTAAAGGGCAGCGCTTTGCACGTATTATGCAGAGCGCCTGGAGAGTATGTGTTGTGTGCGTGTGTCCGCCAGCGTGCCCCTCACTTGCTAGAGATCAGGATGTGCCTTTCTGCTTAGCACTGTTGTCTCCATCAGAAATTCCTCCTGTGTGAACTGCAAACGGGGTTTTTTCCCACTTGAGCGACTGTATGGGCACAGACGCGCACACGTACGCACGCTCTCTCTCATCCCTGAGCCTGAAAAGCATAAAGGAACTCAGACAGACTCTTTCCAACTTAAAAAAAAAAAAAAAAAGGACAGAAAAAAAAAAAAAGACAACAT